GTTGGTATGTTGATTTCTGGGATTGCAACAGTGGTTAGTATCCATAGCAAGACATTACATCTTTAGATTCGCATGTACTGAATAAGACATGTAAGCTCACACATAAATACATACAGCGAACCTAAATAGGAGAACTAGAAAATGTGTGTACTGTAAATTGTTGTTTTTCCATGATTTACAATATCCACTTATGTTTATATCTCATAGGGCAAATAGCGTTTGCTGTTATATTTGGCATTGGTATGGCGTGTTATATTCCCATGATGCCTGTTGTCTTACATTACTTCTTTCCTTTGAGATACGACTTTGCGCTTTCAATCGTGTTCCAGACCCAAGCAATTGCAATGATGATTGGATCTCCGATTGCCGGTAAGTAACAAAACAGTTTAGGTGTTCTTGTTGTGTGCCAATTATGTAAACCTAAGGTAGACGAGAGATTATATCTTATGATGGCCTACCGCCAAGGTCCATTTATTTGGCTTTCAAACAGAATGAGGATAAAGGCGATGGGATATTTAATAAATATAAATGATATATTATTCAGTCACTTCGTCAACCCTGAATTGGCATCACATCATCGTTGCGTTAATTTAAACACTCATATACCCATGCATACAAAGATGTTTTGTCCTAGTTTTCGTGTACAATTGTTTTAGACAAATGATATGGTTAATTATTACATCTCTGGATATTTAGTTTATCACAGAACTGAACAGCAGTATAAATGGTGGCGTAACGATTTCTCAATTCTATAGGTTGGATGCGTGATGTTCTAGGTGACTACAATGCTGCATTTTATATGGCGGCGGCAGTGTTTGGAGCGTCAGCAATTTGTACTTTTCTGATGCCAATTGCGGATAAGTACTTTGAAAACCGAACTGTTAATAAAGCGGATGAAAAACTCTGATTTAGTTCGGTCTGAAGAAGTTATGACATGTGTTACAACAGTTTGATGCCAGAGAATAACATTACATCTTTCGTAGTTTTTAGTTTTTGTTGAACTTGTGGTTAATATTTTCATTCATTGTTAAATTAGTTAACCTCATGCATCGTGTAAATTAATTTATCTTATCATCTGAACAAGATACATCGTTTAAATATGCATACATAACAAACAAACAAACAAATAAATAAATAAATAAATAAATAAATAAATACATACATAGATAAATAAGTTATGAACTATTTTTTTATCATTGTATCTCAAAGACATCGCGAACAATACTTTCAATGGAAACCACTAGCACTAATGCAATTTGACATAAACTGCCAACATGATCGACAAGCTTTTATAGGTACTATAGGTAATTTGACTTTGCAATTTAAATGTTGAATGAAATGATGAAAAAAAAACGACTTATACTGAATGCAATAATTTTGTTATTGAATAATGACTCTAATTGTAGCAGAATCACGTGTGAATTCTCGGTGAATCAGAAAAAGAGTTGAGAA